CTTTCTCAGTAATTTGGTCTCGCTGTCATTTTGCATTCAATTTACATCTTAACAGTACTTCCACAATCAGGAATAAACGAGACGAGGTCTTTGCACAATATAACGACGTTCACATTTTGACCGACACCCACTGTTCAAAGAATGTCCAGCCAACTCTGCGTTCCTAAGCTTCGTTATACAAGGGTATTGATAGAGAGGTTTTGGATAAGCCACGGTTCAAGAAGCACCTTATATGTCTGATACACCACTAAGAAATTTTACTTCATAGTCTATCTTAGACCGTAAACTTGGCGAGCGAGCCAATCGGCGTCTGCGGTTACGGTAGAAAGTATCGGTCTGAACTGTTTAGAGTTCATGACCTGAGGCTCCGCGGCTCAGCCAGCCAAGTTCTTACAGGGAAAGGATACATGGTGACCGTGGCCTCTGGAAATGAAATGTAAACCATTAAATGCATCTTGAAGCGCTGATTTCAAATCTGCTTTTGGTACCTGCTGTGCGCTCTTCCGAAAGAAATCATGAACATTTCTTGTCACCAAAATTTGCACTGTTTTTGACGCAGGATTCACCAATATCGTTAGAATGTTTGCTTACGCACTACAAAGGAGAGTACAGGTAAAGTAAAGCTTGGCGTTAAGCTCAGGAAAACTGTCACCGAAACATCAGAGTCTAAAAAGCCTAAATACTGACAACTTTGACTGCCTAAATCTCGCAAAATTAATATGGAAAAGTCCATACCTTCGTTCAGGGAGTCGCACAGCAGATAATGAACATAGATTTAGAATCAACGCTCCAAGACGCACCTAATGGTATATATCTCGTTGCAAAAGGCCACGGTCACCAAGTATCCTTCCCTCGTTAGCTGAGTCTTAAACTTTATATGCATACGAAACTCAGGTTCGAACACTGCCACTGCTGTATCTGTTTGGCTTCGTATCTTCCCTGAAATTGCAGTCAGAGTTTTAGTAGAATGGTAAAGCGTTGCAGGCAATTCAACATTATGGTTTCCACCGCTTGGGAAACTGCATACATTTACAATGACGTCGTCCTTTGAACACCCTACAGTATCCCCAAAGGCACTTCTAAATCAAGACATTCACTATGCCTGGCACAAAAATGCACCAAAACCTACCCCGTTTTGGCAAACATTACTGCACTGTATTCTAGCAACCAGGGGTTCTTTGAACATATTTTGCACATGGCTTGCTTGTGCTTTTAAGTTAGTGCTTCCGCTGTTACTTCCACAACGAGTAACAACAGCAGCAACACAACAAAATGACGCATTTTTTTCAAGTATGATTGAGATTTGAGGTTTGAAGCAGAGCTTTTTATATCAACGATGCGGACCAGAATGAAACCAGTGAGCGAGGGCTCGGTATGAGTGACCCGGAGAAAGCTGCAGGATGTTGCTGTTGAAGAAATCAAAGAGTTTGTTTAGAAAAGATGTTTCGGTAAAAATAGTACATACTCGCGGGCCAACTAATTCTTACAATGATTTGCACAAGCTTGAAAAATGCACTGAACTTCACGCTTATTGCGAAAAATAACCGTAAATAACTCCGCCGGGTTCAAATAAGTCCTTGAACTCAAGTTATTCGTAATATCTTAACAACATTCAAGCTATTTATCTTATGATATACAGGGTGTCTTAAAAGTATGTATACACTGTTTGGTCGCTAATATCTCTTTTTCAAAGAGGATTGCTGACTACCTTCAACTGCTCTTCTGTAAAGCTAGCCCCAACTTAGATTTGCAGTACAGATCGAATTAGACCTATCTCTCTTCATTACTGCAGGATTACGGCGGTAGGAATCTATTAGCTTGCAGCGTGTTCGTGGATTGGACGTGTCTCAAAAAGTTTCAAAGAAACTTGAAAAGTGTCTTTACGGGTCTTATATAGATACTTTCGCGGTCTTCATGCGCACTGATATTAATAATTGACTTTTTACGAGTTTGTAAGGCTTTTTAAATGAGGTAAACGCAATTTCAGGAGACATTGTAGGAAAAGCTATTGCGGTTTACCTGGCATAACTTAATAAACAAGCATTGCGGTAAAGTGCAAACTTCATATTTAGTTTTAGACGGCTCGAATTAGCCTAGTATGATAGTTTTTAGGTTTTGTTTGGTTTGCTTTCTGAGGCTGAATAGGAGACCCATCGGCTCACAACCCTTCTTGATGTTTCTACCGTAATCCTACAGTGAAGATCGATCGGTGATTCGCTACATACTGTAGATCTAAGCTGTATCCAGTTCTACAAAATGGTGCCAGGAGGTAGGCAAAAGACTTTTTGGGAAAAGGGACATCGAAGATCAAACAGTGTGTACATACTTTTGGGCACCCTGTATAGAAGCGCTGTTTGGTGCGGTAGTTCTATGGTAAGTCGTCAGTTCAGCAGCTAATGTGTGTTTTGTAGATCAGCACGCTGAGCTTGGCAAGCAAAAATTTTGAACGTTGCCAACTGACGGAAAAGACTAACCAACTGCGTATCACATACCTACCGTTACCTAAGCAAACATCTGTGTATATATCAGGAGGCGGAGTCGAGCTAAACTGAATGGTAGATTCAGAACTCTGGCAAACTTTGGTAGAGTTCGTAGTCAGTTTTCAAAAGCTATGACGGTATTGTAAAAGTTTCCAATTTTTTTCATCAAAATGTCTAAATGGTGAAGAAAGACTGATCAAGATTTAGAATTTTTTTGATAAATCGCAAAAATTCTTCAAAAAGCCAGTTGAAGGGAAGCAAAAAATGTTGCATGCAGACAGTCTTTATCAGCTTTTTGCAAGAACTTTTTTGAGCACCCTAAGCACTTTCTAAACAAACACTATATCAAACTTTTTTACTACTCTTCTTGAAAGATTGCAGGTCATTCCATGCGCAGCTGAATGATCTCCATCTTTCTTAAGTTGTCAATGCAAAGGGGGCAAAATTAGAGTGCTAAAGCTTTACGAAAAGTTATATTGCAAATATGTAGCCCGGAATCGTCATTTATCAATTCGAGAACCTCTCTCGAATTCGTTGTCTCTACAATGTTCGATTTCAAAAACTATCGAAGTTATTCAACATCTTTTTATTAGAATATATGATGTGAAGCGCTGAAATTATTGGATATTTCACCACTGTCATACCAAATGGTGTCAGATGGTTGTAACTGACGCGCTGAAATTTGTGAAATGCATGATCATTCCTCCTGATTCATGACTGAAAAAAACCTTGCAGGATGTGTCTTCATATGCATTCGTTTTGACTCTTCAAACTTGAAAAACCAAGTTCTTTCGCTTTGCAGCATATTCGCCTAATCATGCAATCGACAACTATACGATGTGGTAGTACAGCGCAGAGGTAATAGTGTAAAGAACGCAATATATTGCATCTATAATTGTACCTTGTAAATTTAGCTTGAGCGCTCGCGGAAAGTTACGCGAAGCATCCCGGACGGGAGCGCAGAGGCTCACTGGCTGCCCTAAGGTAATCTCAAAAATAAAAAAAACCGATTTTTTTTCTTCTTGCTTTCCGATATACATCATTTTCACTTCGCCAAGCATATCATGTTAAATTTTAATGTTCTAATAATTTGGTCAAGGGTATCTAATACTCATGCTCACGTATCCAATACTCAACTCATGCAACCTTTGAGAGGGAAAAACTGTGATTGCTGGGATATAAGAGTTTTGAAAGGTTTAAACCAGCACAGAGCCAAACACTTCTCCAGATTTCGTATAGAAACTTTCAGCAGAGAGCTGGATCCCTGCGGGAAGCATGCAAATGATGCAATTGGTCAAATACTGTACTGGTAATCTTTTTTAAGATGGTTTTTTCTGCCGTGGGTAAATCTTTAGGCTGCAGATCAAACAGCGTCTTGATTGAGCCCACTCGACGCAATCCTATTGCCAGATTCACCTGCAAACTGCCTTTCAGCAAATTTTGTGATGTATGAAAACAATTTTTTGCAGCTATTTGCATATAAAGCAGCCGTTGATTACTATTTTTCACCTAATCCAATATCTGGTTACTGTTTTGAATTTGATTTCCGATAGTTTTAGTCATTTTTTACAACTCTACTGGACAATAATCGAGAAGTGTTATCGTTGATTCGTTGACCGCATGGGCTGCTCAAACGCTGCGGACCACGCGCGGCGCGGCTAAGATGAATGTTGCGAGAGCACAATTTGTACCGAATTTGTACTAGAGCAAGATTTACCTCGCGGCACGTGCTCCGTAGTGATGTCCTGTCCGTGCGATCAACGAATGGACTATACCTATTTGGAAATGAAGTGGAAAACAAGTGTGCTATTCTATTGGTTGACGATAATTTCTGTTCAATTTTTTATTTTAATTCTTGAAAATCTCAAATGTTTTCGAAAGACTTCACGTTCAAGGAATGTTGACGAGGTGCAAAGCTCTGCCCATCGGTACATTCACATCCATGATCCATTGCAGTTTATGGGTGGGTGTACGTTTCATGACCATTTCCTTCAACGAACTGGCATATTTATCAGTTGAACAGCTAGAGGCCGGACAGTGATAATCGAACAAAGCATCTATAGTTTTAATAAATATAAAGATGACATACATTTACAGACGTTTATCTCAGCCGTTGAAGTATCAGTGTACGCCACCTTTACAATTATCGACATTCTAAAAAAGAATCGTTTTCAAGAAATTCAGAAAATCATTTGTAAGCATGTTCGAGGTCCCTCGCGGAAATCTGCAACAATTGCGCACTTCTGTCCACCACATCTCGTGGTACTGGTCGGGGTAGAGCCTATTGGTGACTTCTTGTCTTCTACCCAGAATACATGATCGGCTTCCTCATGTAAGACACTTAAGCCGCGGCTGTGTCTCAACCAGAGCTTTCAAAGGTTTCCACTCAAGATCTTAGGAACCTAGACTTGATCTTAATGTTGAAGGTTACATAGTCCATCAACAAGATTCTTACAAAGCCTCTAGTAAAGTAGGACTATCTTTCTGAATAAATTGCAGGTGTTATTCAGTAAACTCGTATATAAATGCTGAAGTGTTTATTTAGACGTTTTCAACAGGGGATGACTGTTTCAAAACTCGTCCTGGCTTGTTGTACGATCATTTACAGTTTTCACAAACACATTTCCAGTTCGCATCGCAGGAGCCTCCCTTGCACTTCTGAAGCAAACCGATGTATTGCTATGGAATACAAGACCAAGACTTACATGAAGTTCTTTGCAGTCCGTAAAGCAGAGACCCATGGAACGTTGAGGATTCGGCGGATATAAATCTTTGCATCTCCCAATAATTTTTGTTTTCCCCCCCACCGTAACTTGCAATAGGAGCATCAGCATCAGCAATTTGACTAGCGGAAGCATGATCTTTTCTGGAATGAGATCAGATGTTCCACAGCTCTGATTTACGATGCCAAGCAAACGAAAGCTTCAGCAGGTGTTTGAGCTACTAAGAATAAATTGTATATCTGAGAGAAGCAAAAGATATAGGCTCAAATCTGGAAAAAATCTTTGAAAGACTCAGACGTATAAAGCGTCTTAAAAGAGTATACTGAGTACACAGAGTATATGAAAGGCTCTTTTTATGGGATTATCTTTTTAATGAAAGTGCTTACGATCAACAAGGTTATCTTGCCATCTGCTGTTTTCAACGAGTCAAAATACGCAGAAATGACCACTTCGAAAGACTAAAGGGGACCTATCCCGAACAGGAGCGGTATTCATCAATTCCTCGCACATCCTTCCATACCTGTTCGGGGACCTGAGTGAAACCACTGTCAAGTTCGATTTGTTCGGGTCTTCAAGCAGAGGAAAGACAAGATGTGACAAACTGAAATGAAATGTATACTATTGGTCGCGCCTTTGAACGCTGATTCCAAATCTGCCTTCCTTTTTCTGCGAACAACTTTCTGAAAGAAGTTGAGATCATTTAGCTCAAATTTTTCAAACCAGTGGAGTAAAGTTAGCGTGTACAAAAACACTTATGCGAATTTTTACTGATTGCGATTTACTGATTGTAGTCAATATAGGTGATACAAAATTGATTACCCACTTGCAGGCGTTTTTGGACAGGTTTTCACCTGCCTTTTTTTCCTTAAGATTTGATAGTTTTCTTCCGAAAGCTTATGACTTCTTCCGAAAAGGTTGTTTCGTAGAAAAGAAAAGCAGATTTAAAATCAGCGTTCAAATGGTATGCATCTGGCGACATGCATTCCCCTTTGAGCCAGATCAATTGCCGTTTCCTAATTAGAGTGCATTTAAAGGGTGCTCAGGTTTAAAATTTCAATTTTCGAGTTTTGACACGTTTTTTCAGAGAACGCCTCCTTGCTGGGGATTCAAAACGCAGTCTCCAAGGCAGTGTCCTGGCAGAATTGCTCCGTGGGGGATATAGCTGTGGTCGTCACCCCCTTATTTCTAGGCCCAGTCCGGCTGGAAAATAGCCCTGGAACCGAGCGCGCAACCCCAGTCGGCGCGTGCTCGAACGGCTTCGCACCTGTTTGGCGCGGGACCCCATGACAGCTCCCGCATTGTGCATGCCATTCAAAGCAAAAACTACAGGCGACAGGGTCTTCGTGCCAGAGTTTCCCAACTTTCCATAGAAACTCTGGTGTGACCTGCCTTTTGGAAATTGGCTAAACGCTCCAAAAACAGTCTTTCCACCTTCAAAGCTCAAATTCGGATTCTGCGTGTCGAAATGCCCTGAAATATGCGAAACTGTAAAAGTGCAAGTTGCTGGGGCACTGTCTTCAAGGAATTTGGTGTGAGCTTGTACCAAGATATGGTTATACAGGGTCTTAATCTTTTTGAATTCGCAAAAGTCCTAAAACTCAAAGACACGGCCTGCAGGGTTGTTTGTTCGAGAGGGCTTATGATTTGATACAACTAACACACCTGAGTAACATTTGAGCGCTTGGGTGCGGGCAATAATAGCCACAAGGAGAACAAAGACGAAAACGAAAATGCACAGACGAAAATATCTGATGAATATAATGCTAGATTGCCTGATTTGCGGGATTTTTATAGTGGAGACTCACACTTTTTTGACCGTTCAAGTATGCTGATAAAGTGCTATCACGATGTCGTGTGACATTTTTTTTCGGCCGAATCGAAAATTTTGAAATCAACGTGGCGTCCAATCTGGTACAAGAAGCTTTACGGCTTGCTAAGCTTGGTCTTTATTAAGATTACAGAAAAAATTTATTCTCCAGCACTTATCAAAGACATTATGATCTGCTTAATCACAGTATGACGCAAATAGATCAAACTTTGAGATAGCATCAGTGTTGCGTAGTTACTCAGGCATGGCCATTGAGAACTGCAGAACAAGGGGTTTGATGAAACGACTACTGAACCATCGTTTACTTCACATTTACTTTCCAGAGGGTGTAAGCTTTGAAGAGCAATACAGTGCTAAACACAATTATTATCCACTCTCAATATGGCCATGATTTGCCTTTTTGTTGATGGATCTATTTGAAGTTTTGTTGCGTTGTATACATGTAAGCCTACCATCATTCATCAAAACGGCTCTCAATATCTCGTTGACTTGAAACGGTGAAAAGGAAAAATTTTCAAAAAGGCCTTGATCAGGCTGGACACTACTATAAATACACTCGCTTTTTCCAGCCACCATTGCATTTCTTGCATTCCTTGACTCTAAAAGAAAATTAAACCTTAAAATGGATAATCAATCACCTGAATTTTTTCACTTTCAAAAGCTCTTGAAGTCAATCTGCTTCAATAAACAGCTGGTTTGAGTTTACGAGCTTTTTTACGTACCACGCATAAGTCTCGAATGCTTCTGAGCTATTTGATAAAAGAGGCGAAGGACGCTCTTATAAACTTTGCGTAATCGCTGATATTGACGGACAGCTCCACACCAAAGGGTAACCATATTTCCACAAAATCGATGTTCGATCATTAGGAAGTGCTGAGGCTGATTTATTATATCGCCTAATTGATGATGCGGTTCTGCTAAAACTCTCAGAATGTTGTGATGCAATCGCCTTTAGATTTAATTTACTTTTCGTGAAAATTTTCTGTGAGCAGAGAATGGGCATATTCTCAATCTCCTCTCTGATTTGAATCAGGTTCTGCGAGTTAGTTAGAGTAACTAAGATTTTGAAGTTCTGAGGGTTCTCCAATTTGACCTGGTGGTCTGAGTTGTCATTGGGCAGGGTGCTCCGCTCACTTCTCGAAGTATGACAATTGTGGATAAAATGCCCAGTGCGCCAATTTTTTTCTAACTGTGCACACGACTTCATTTTCGTACAAGTTTTGAAAATCAAGCCTTGGGTGTAAGAGCGTGACATCCCCGTGATCTTAGAGCTTGTCCTTCAACATCAAACGATTACGCAAAGTCTATATGTGCGTCCTTTACCTTAATTATCAAGAAACAAGAAGAAGAAATAGTGAAAATTAGGCTTATCCTCAATCTACTGTTCGGGGAAATTTCATGAAAAGTACTTGAATTTTGAAGGCGCGATTGCGTCACAACAATCTAAGAGTTTTCACAAAACTGCATCATCATATAGGCAAGGTAATAAATCAAGCCCAGCACTTCCTGAATATTAAACATCGAGTTTTGTAGAAAGGTGTCTACTTTATGGTGGTTTTGCAGCTGTCCGTAGTGATTACGCGAAGTTTCTAAGAGCGTTCTTCACCTCATAAGAAAGCTCACGAGACATGGCTCACGAGATTTCTGCGTGGCATGTAAAAAGTTTGTAAACTCTGCAAATCAGCTTTTCGTTAAAGCAGATTGACTCTCAATGCTGTTAAAAGCAAAAACTTCACGTGATTGTTCATCTTCGATTACGACGAGAGGTCGGAGGTGCTGCAAATGTTCCACACTTCGACGTAGCTGTACAAAAAATTTGAGAGTCAAAGAAGCAATGATGGTTGAATCAAGCAAATGGATCTATAAAAGTGTTTAGTTTGAAGCAGTGGCTCGACAAACTCCACAAAATTTTTTGCTTTTTCGGGGCGAATCGACGCTAATTTCGAAAACTGAACTTACATAGCATGGAAATGGCGTAAACCAGCCTTTTCAAGCCCCATCATACTCAAAGTTCGACTCGATCGCGTCAAGACTTGAAAGCAAGGGATGGGAAGAAGTGGCTCGAGAAATTTGAGGGTAGGGGGGAAGGAGACATCATACGCACTGTATCATCTTCTGGTTTCACAAAATCAATTTGCTATCATCTGTTTATCAAGACTTCAAAGACTAGGTTTTCCTAAAAGTTCTTGCGCCGCATTTTCAAAAAAACATAACTTTTTCGTATCTCAATGGATTCCTTTAAAGAAAATTCCATATGAAGGCACGAATCAAGCTCTTTACAGGATTTTTTGAACATGCGAAGCAAGTGCTTTTGGGACAGCCTTATGTACAAGAAACAAGTTTTTGCATAGTCTTGTAGTTGAAATAAACCACTACCTGAATTTTCGCAACCCTTATTTGGGAGAGCAATGGGGGTGAGGAAGAGGACGAAGATAGAGCTGCTTTGAGGGTTGTTGGAAGATGGGGAGAGGAATTAGTGGCCTGAATATGCAAAGCATGCTAGTATCCCACGTCACAAGTCTGTTAAAGCGATATTTTCGAGGTTCTTGATACAACCCTGGTGATACCCCGCATTGGAACATATTTAGAACTTATATTTTGGCTTCATAATTCCATAGGTCGAACTTTCTGCAAATGATCGCAGGATAACTTGTAAAGTCCATTAATTTATCGAATATAATAGTTGTAGTTTGGCTCCTAATCAAGAATTTGAGTCTACAGGACATCGTCGTCAGATGGAAAAAAACTTATGAGACAGTCGTAATGGTTGGTCCGTATTGGAAGACCTTTACGTGCTGCATCTGAAGTTTGTTCTTCAGGAAACGAGAATGCAACATTATATACCGTCTTGCCAAATTAGGCGGATATCAGGCGCTTTGATCAGATTTCTTTGCATGCTGTCATCAACATAGAAAAACATTGAAAACACCGTGCTTTTGCACCGATCCGTTGAATACAAACTCACTGAAATAAGACATTTGGAGTGCTGCCAGAAACCGGTTACATCCACCACTGCTCAAGCAGTTTTATTTGAAATGTAGTGAAATCCTCGAAAATATCGCTATGACGTACATCGTGACTCGAGGGACAAGGAAATCATTCAAGTACTATTAGCACAAATCAGTGGGTTGATGCAAAACTAATGCCTGCCCCTTGTTTTGGAGTGCCAGAAAAGCTATAACAATCTACAAAATCTATCATTCGATAGGGGAGTAGCTGCGCATTCTCAAATCAATCTACGTGAACTTGCAAAAAAAATCTAGAAAAATTTGTGCACCCAAAAATCAGATTTTCGTCAAAAGATGCTGCTAACTTCAAACATGGTCAAGCATATACTATACAAATCATATGTCCAGCTAACGCATTCGTTCTGAAATGGAAATTGAAAATTTAAAGAAGGTCAAGGAATCGAAAATGTCGCCTTCGGGTTTTTATGTCAAATTTCTATATCTCAGACAACCAGCGCTCGAAGAAGGCCCAAAACTGTTGTAATTTCAAAGGCTTGCAGTGTGGAACTGTCTATGTCGAGACAATCCAGCATTGATTATATTAAATGCCAATCTTATTTCCTTTACTATTAGCTTTGGAAAAAAATAAAAAATATGATTTGTATAGTATATACTTGAACATGTTTGAAGTTAGCATCTTTTGATGAAAATCTGATTTTCAAGTACACAAATTTTTCTAGCAAGTGTATAATACCTATGCAAAGGTAATGCGTTAATGTGACATGTAATTTTTGTGAGCAATTTGGGTGTTTGTAGGATTTTTCTTGGCAGAGATCCAATTTCTCGGCTAAACCTCTTCCCACTTTCCTTATTAAACTTTCCAAGATTGTCTGACATCGCACCTTGTAGAGCTTGTTTTGTTCTATCTAATGATATGTTTCATGGATTTTTATGCCTTTTCTGCCGCACAAGGATAAGTCACACGCATTTGTGCATCAACATAATGCAACGCTATATGATAAAATAATCACTTATTCCAGCTCTTGTCTCTCCTCCTCCTCCCCTCCCCCCCCCCCCTCCCACCGCCTTCCCCGGACAATTTCTCGCACCACTACCTTCCATTCCTTTCTCGATTTCGGATACCCTCCCTGAAGTGCAAAGCAAATGAAAAGCATGCCATCATCCGCGGCGAAAGTCAGCACTATGTGCACAATGACTCTTCACTCTGTATGGCTTTCGGGATAATGAGTACAGTTTGATTATTACGATAATTATAGAGGCGGCAGGTGGCTGGTAAAGGTCACGAGCGGCTGTTCAGCGTCGCGCATCCCATTTTTCTGTTAGCAGAGCATAGTCTGGTTCAGTCAAGCCAATAATAAAAATTTAAACTCACAAATAACACTCAATCAAATTAAAAACCAACAGAAACTTGTGGATGCGAAAAAATTTTGCACACGTCCAAAGCAGCTGTTATTATCTACTTTCTATAATGACAAATATTTCCAACCTTGGTCAAACTTTCCACAACGAAAAATGCTTGAGACTTTTTGTATGTAATGGGATTGAATGTGGGATTGAATACCAGGATTGAATACCACTCATATATGGTCACAAATATCAGATCACACTAATGGTAAACGCGGCCGCCGTAGCTGCCGAAACTCTGAGTTTTCTTTTCTTAGTCTTCGATTACAGCTGCTTCAGCAATTTTCAGTGTTATTACAACATTTTTCCTCTATCTTGTATTCTGAATGTCACACCGAAATTGTCTGAATATGCAAAAGAGTGTTAAATAGTAGTAAGCAAGAAAATTCAATTCGTATGACGAATTATTTTAGGAGCTCGAAGATGCCAATAAAAATTCGAGTTTACTTAGACTCGTGGGTCTTCACAAACA